GCCATACAGACAGTATAGAGCCAATGTTCATAACTTCAACTACAAAATTGATACACACATATAGACAGCATAATCATAACCAGTAAACCATCACTTTGTTTTAGATACCTCATTTGACCCCCTTTATGCAAGATTTGGTGCCACTACGGGACTTTGGTTGCAACAATGATCTACATGGTCCCAGATTATATCAATAACGTCACAGTTGGATATTAGGAAAAACTTTTGCACTGGGGGATGGTGAAGCACTGGAATGGGTTACGTAGGGAGGTGGTGGAATCTCCTTCCTTAGAGGTTTTTAAGGTCAGGCTTGACAAAGCCCTGGCTGGGATGATTTAATTGGGGACTGGTCCTGCTTTGAGCAGGGGGTTGGACTAGATGACCTCCTGAGGTCCCTTCCAACCCTGGTATTCTGTGATTCTATTCTATGATTCAAGGGACCTCAGAGACCTGAGAAGCAGGGGGACTGGAGCCCAGAAGTTCAGTCAAGGAGGCGGTGAGGCCACGTGGCTCACCCTGGGGGAAGAGTGAGACCCCGGGAGGTCTGGCCCATTGAAGGGCTCCTCCCAGAGACTGTTCCCAGGCTGAGATGTAGCCCCGACCCTGTGGATCCAGGACAGAGGGTATTTAACCACTGCAATGACTGACCGGGGGGAGTAGCGGATTCTCCAGCTCTTGGGGTCTTCCTGTGATGGCTGGGCAGCTGTAAAAGATATGCTGGGGTTCAACCAGCAAGGCAGGACTGGAGGCAGGAATTGCGGGTGGGGTCTCTCTGTCACGGACTCCCAGGGCTCTGGACTCGCTCTGAATGAGGGTCAGGCAGGAGTCTGGGGCAGCGTCTCCCCTCAGGCCACCTGTCAGCTGCTCGGCTTCGGCACCTTCTGGATCTGACCTCGGAGCGTTCAGCCCCCTGCTCGCCGAGGGAGCTCCCTGCAGCGAGTCCCCCTGGGTGCCCCCAAAGGGCCCTGCCCCCCACTCCGCAGCCAGCAGTGACCCAGCCAGCGTGTGATGCAGACGGGTTCTTAGTTGTCAGGAACACAACCCGGCACAGAACAGATCTTGTTAGCTCAGAAATCAATGGTTTTTAGTGTAACCCTTCTGCCCGCTGGAGCCGGCAGCAGCTAGGGCCGGGTTCGATATCGCGGGGTTCCTTTTCATACATCCAATACAGAACAGGCTCAAGCCCCCACCCAGTGACCTGGGACAATTACACACCACCCCTGGGCGCCTCTGAGAGGCAAAACTCCCCCTCTTGCAAGCACAGAGTCTGAGTGTAGAAAAGAAACTTTTAATGAAAGGAGGGAGATCACCCAACATCAATTAGGGAAAACGCCACAAGCAGGATTCATACACATAACACTGCGAGCGGGACGCCCGCCCCAGAGGGCAGTGCCTTCCGCCTCATGTTCTAGAGTCCTACAACCAAAATCTCCTTTTGAATGCCCCTCTCTGCTCCCTCACCACACCCCACTCACAGGGTTTGTCCTTGGTCAGAGAGGACTCAGCGTTCAGAGGTGCATCTGTGTGAGTTACCGTCCCACCCGGGGAAGAAGGTACCACCCCACCAGCCGTGGTTCCACTCACTGGACACCTCCTACCACCCTGCTGTGACCTCTGCAGTCCATCTCTGGAGGTGCCACCAGCTCTCAGCTGGCTGCGAAGAGACACTGACCCACCGCCAGTGATTTCAGCTCTTTTGAGCATTTAACATAACAAAAGGCTTCTAATGAAACCTATTTAGCTCAGTTTTAAACAATGGGAGGAACAGGTTAAACCTGACCAGGCACCCTTAGACAGAAGCCACACTTCCTGGCTGAGATCCCTGTCCCCACCCTCTCTTACTTTCCAGGGCTCTGGCATTTGAGCCCCTGGCGTACCGAGGTGCTTTCAGCTGAAGGTGACCCCTCAGTTGGGACAGGTTAAGCACAGTTCTGCTCCCCTCTATTCATACATTAAAGACAACAACATTTCACTCCCCTGCAGTCAGTACTAACGTGATTTGTACCCCACGCCGGCCAAAGCTGATCACTTTGAGCAGCACCGCTCTGCCCGCTGGGTACCGACGCAGAGTTAGGTGTTCGTGTAAATACGGTTTGCTCCTGACGTCTCTCCTGCTCCGGGTGAATTCATCCAGACCCGGCTTACAGCAGCAAAGTCCATCTTAGCGGGATCCAGGGCCTAGCGCGCCGGACTCCCCCCTCTGAGTCTCAAAGCACGAGACTGACCAGTTCCAGCTGCCTGGTCTCCTCACCCCCATTGCTCCTCCTCCATCCTTTGTCTCTTTCTCCAGCAAGCAGGTCACCTGGGCTGCACCAACTCCTCCGCCCGGCTGCTGCAGAGGAGGGGGCCCGGCCCTCCTTTGCCAGGATACAGTGTCGGCTTTTTTCTGGGCCCGGGCAGCCAGGATGGGCAGGGAGGGTGTCCCTAGTCTCTGTTTGCCAGAAACTGGGAATGGGCGACAGGGGCTAGATCACTGGACGATTCCCTGTTCTGTTCATTCCCTCTGGGGCACCTGGCATTGGCCATTGTCGGAAGACAGGATACTGGGCTAGATGGACCCTCGATCTGACCCAGTGTGGCCGTTCTTAGGAGCAGTCAGACCTGCCATTGAGGGGCCTCTACAATGATCACACACCCTGATCCCGCCACCTAGATCCTCGAGTAACACACAGGGGAAACTGAGGCACACACCGTATTCAGAAAAAACATTAAGAACATTCCCACTTTGTCACAGGCTGGGCGTCTGTAACGGATCCGCTGGGGCCCAACCAGCACGGCAGGGCTTGATGCAGGAATCGCTGGGTGGGGTCTCTGGCCAGAACAGCACGGCGGTCAGGGGGGTGATCTCCTGACTCTGGAGAACAGAAGGGAACGGCCCCAGCGAGTCAGTGCCCTGACGGCTAATCCAACCCTCAAGTCCTGGCTCCCACCCCAGCACTAGACACCTTCCCTCCCAGAGCTGGGGAGAGAACCCAGGAGTCCTGGCTCCCAGCCCCCTGCCCTGACCCCTGGCCCCCTTGCTCCCTGGTGGAGGTCAGTGGAAGAGGCGGGGGCTATTGTGGGGCTGGAGGGGGGTGGCCCCTGAGCCCCCCCAGTGATGTGCGTGCGGCTCCCCCTGCAGGAGAACAGTCGGCGGCAGAAGCAGCACCTGAGCCAGCGTTTCGACTCCCTCTACAGCACCCTGGAGGAGCGCAAGAAGGAGCTGGTGCAGCGCGTCAGCCGGGAGCAGGAGGAGCGGGTCAGCCACGTGCGCTCCCTCATCCGCCAGTACGGGGAGCACCTGGAGAGCTCCGCCAAGCTGGTGGAGTCGGCCATCCAGGCCATGGAGGAGCCCCAGATGGCCGCGTACCTGCAGGTCTGTGCGGGGAGGGGGGTGTCTGGGAAGGGCAGGAGAGGGGCTTCTCCACGCTGGGATCTGGCCAAGCCGTGGGCACCATCCTCCTGGAATGGGCAAAGGGCTCGGGGGCAGGGGCCTGCTAGGCCACGGGCACCTGTGGTTGCCTCTCTGCCCCCAGCCAGAGCTGGTGCCAATACCAGTGCCAGCCTGCAGCTGATGGGCCCACGGGGCTGGCAGGGGCTGGGCTCCGGGAGCAGGTGCTGACGCTAACCAAGCTCTCTGCCTCTCCCTCCCTGCAGCAATCCAAGGAGCTGCTTAAAAAGTAAGTCTGGTGGGTGGGGTGGGGTGGGGGGAGACCACAGAGGAGAGAAACCTCCGGTTGGAGCCCATCCCTGTAGGGGTCGGGGGTCCTTGGGGCAAAGTCACAGATCCACGGGGCCAGTGCTAAGCCCCCAGCCTGGGAACAGTCCCTGGGAGGGGCCTTCAGTGACCCTGACCCCCCCAGGGTCTCACTCTTCCCCCAGGGTGAGCCACGCGGCCTCACCACCTCCTGAGACTGGGCCCCTGGGCCTGCAGTCCCCCTGCCCCCCCGGGAGCGCCGGGCAGCGAGTCTGGGACAGACCTGGGGGAGACGTGTACAATCTGGGGGAGCAGCACCCCCCCCAGCGTCTGCAGGGAAACTCACCCAGCGCTGTGAAACCAGGCGGGTTTATTGGTCACCTGGCACATGGCCCAGGCAGCCCCTCGGGCGGCCCAGAGAATGACGGTTACAGCCCAGCCCGGCTGCAGTGACCCCCGTGGTTCAAGCTCTGTCTGTCTCCATCCAACCTCCTTGGTCTGACTCCAGGTGAGAGCCCTGCCCCCGACTCCTGCCAGCCCCCAGCTCTTATCCCCCCTCGCACCTCCCAGCCCCTGTTCCCCAGCTGGGGAGCTGCTGCTCGGCTCCTGCGGAGAGGTGGGGCCAGGTGTCCATGTCCCACAATTAGATTTGCCAGCGTTGCCATGGATTCTCCATTGACCCGGGGTTGGCGTCAGCCAGTTCGTTTCCAATGGCCCACGTAGTCCCAGCCACCGGGCGCCATTCCCATCTGTGCCTGAGCTTGCCTGGGGGCGCCCTGCCCTCCCCTCACTGGGTAACGATGCAGCTGTAACGATGCTGGTTCTGGCGGGACCCAACGGAGAGCTGGGGTGGGGGGCCTGGGACAGATTGCTGAGAGCGGGGCAGCCCCAGCCCCAGGCTGGGGGTCCTTTGCACACCAAGGCAAACCAAACCAGCCCCCCACACAGCTCTGCCAGTGCCCCCATCCCCTCCCACAGCCCCCTGGTACCCCAGCCCTGGGTGTCCCACACACAGCTCTGCCAGTGCCCCCAATCCCACCCCACGGCACCCTGACAGCCCTGAACGCCCCCCACACAGCTCTGCCAGTGCCCCCATCCCCTCCCACAGCCCCCTGGTACCTCAGCCCTGGGCGCCCCACACACAGCTCTGCCAGTGCCCCCATCCCGTCCCACAGCCCCCTGGTACCCCAGCCCTGGGCGCCCCACACACAGCTCTGCTGCCCCCCTCAATCCCAGAGGGTGGGGGGATTGGTCAGGCTGTGCAGGGGTGTCACAGAGCCAGGCTCGGTGCCCTGCATTGGCTCTGAGTGAAGACTTGTGAGTCTGACAAGCCCCCGGCTCTGCCTGGCAGGATCACGGACACGTCGAAGGTGTCAATGAGTAGCCGCCCGGAGCCCGGCTACGAGAAGATGGACCACTTCTCTGTCAATGTGGACAACCTGGCCGAGATGCTGAGAACCATCGAATTCCAGACAGGTGACCCGGGGGTGTGGCACCGGCGGGTCCTCCTGGAGCCATGGTGCGAGCCCCGGCCCTGGGTGCTGTGCGGGGTGGGCAGAGCCGCTCCTCGGCCCAGACGTCTGTCTGTGTGTCTGTCTGACATGCACCAAGGCGGGGGCAGGGCTGGTGTTAGCTGTGGCAGGGGGATCCGCAGAGGGGTGTGGGGCCCAGGGTGTACGGGCTCTTGGAGGGGGTGTGGCTGGGGTGCAGGTGGGGGGATGGGGCGCCTCCTGGGGTGGCTGCCAGCACGGCCCCTCCCTGGCAGTGGGTCCCGGCTTCTGCCCCTCTCCGTGCGCAGCTGGCTGTGTGCTGGGGGCAGGATGCCTGGCAGGGACCCCAGGACTGGCTGAGCTGGGTGCAGGTGGCATGACCGGAGCATCCTGTCTGGCTGTCCCACGCCTCTGGCGCGGGGGCTGACTCCGGATTCCCTCGCTCTCCCAGACTCGCAGGGTGAGGACGACATGGACGGGTTTGCGGGCGGGGATGGAGGAGACGCTGGAGCCGACGAGGACAGGCCGGAGGGGCCAGAGGCGCTAGAGGGGGCCGAAGGTGAGTGCCTGGAGTGAGGGACAGTCACCCCGGGCCACACGAGGGTAACAGCTCCCCAGAGCCCCCAGCTAGCGGGGCCCGTGACCGTGCTTTGCCCCCCGTACGACCCGGGCCAGAGACCTGCCCCAGAGCAGAGCTGGCTGCACTGAGCTGTCAGTGCCGGAGAACCACCCGGCCCCGGGGGATTGTCCACTGGCTAATTACCTCCCTGTTAAACACCGACCCCCATTGCCAGTGGGGATCTGTACCGCTTTGGCTTGGCCCTTCCTCCACCTGCCCGCACAGCCCCTTGGGCGACGCTTGTTCCCGCGAAGGTACTGCCCGGGGGTCGGGACCCAGACTGTGTCGAAGGGTTGTGTGGCAGCTCCTGTCCCATGGGGCTGGCTGGGCTCCCTCTTGGTCCCTGCCAGGGGCTACGGATTCTTCCTAAAGGTGGGGGGGCCACGAGGCCCCCTCTGCGGCCCCACCCCTGCCCCTCCTCTTCCCCTGAGGCCCCACTCCCTGGCCAAGCCAGAAGCCGGAGCTGGGCCAGGGAGGCTGGGCCCCTCCACCTGCTCGGGGTGGGGGAGCCGAAGAGCAGCCCCTGTGTCCCCGACCCCCAGGCCCCCCACCCAGGGCAGGTGGAGGGTCCACAGCTCCCCATAGCTGCCTGCACAGCTCTTACCCTGGCCTGGCTCCGCCTCCCAGCCTGGCGGGGGAGGGGGGAGCAGGCCCTTGGGGGCCCAAGAGCCCCAGCCGGACCATGGGGTGGGGACACAGGCAGGGGCTGCTCTCAGCCCCGCCCCATGCCCCGGGCATGTAGCAGCTCCCCGGGCTGCAGAGAGCCAAGCCCAACCCCCCCACAGCACAGGAGCCGGGCAGGCCCCAACCCCCCTGGAGGGGCAGGACTTGTTCAAAACCACCCCAGGGCCCCCACCCCCAGACTGTTACTGGGTCGCGCCATTTACAGATGGGCCCTGAGCCCACAAAGGCAGAGCAGCCGCTGCTCTAGGCTGGGATCACGTCACCCCTTGGACCCTCCCATGGTCTAGGCTGAGCTCCTGGCGGGTCACTGAGGCAGGTTTCTAACCCTTCGATCGTTCCCGCAGCTCTTCCCTGACCCCTCCAGTTTATCAACCTCCCTCCTGCTCTCACCCCCGGCCTCTTAGTTCTGAGGCCGCTGGGCTGGTCTCGGCAGGGGCATGTCTGAGCCTCTGTCACAGACCCCCAGGGCCGGGCTACGCCCCAGCCTGGGAACAGGCAATTAATTGATCTTTGACTATTAGCGATAAATATGCCCAATGGCCTGTGATGGGATGTTCGATGCGGTGGGATCTGAGTTACTACAGAGAATTCTTTCCTGGGTGCTGGCTGGTGAGTCTTGCCCACATGCTCAGGGTTTAGCTGATCGCCATATTTGGGGTCGGGAAGGAATTTTCCTCCAGGGCAGATTGCAGAGCCCCTGGGGGTTTTTTCACCTTCCTCTGCAGCGTGAGGCACGGGTCACTTGCTGGAGGATTCTCTGCACCTTGAAGTCTTTAAACCACAAGTTGAGGACTTCAGTGGCTCAGACATAGGTCAGGGGTTTGTTGCAGGAGTGGGTGGGTGAGATTCTGTGGTCTGCGTTGTGCAGGAGGTCAGACTAGATGATCATAATGGCCCCTTCTGACTTTAAAGTCTATGAGTCTAACAGTCCCTGGGAGGGGCCTTCAGTGACCCTGACCCCCCCCCCCGGGGTCTCACTCTTCCCCCAGGGTGAGCCATGCGGCCTCACCACCTCCTGAGACTGGGCCCCTGGGCCTGCAGCCCCCCTGCCCCCCCCCGGGGAGCGCCGGGCAGCGAGTCTGGGACAGACCTGGGGGAGACGTGTACAATCGGGGGGAGCAGCACCCCCCGCCAGCGTCTGCGGGGACACCCAGCCAGCGCGGGCAGACAGGCGGGTGTATCCGCGGCCTGGCACACGGCACAGGCAGCCCTGGGGGAGCCCAGGGAAGTGAAGGTCCCAGCGGAGTCCGTTCCGGGCAGCCGGCGCCCAGCTGCAGTGACCCCTGTGGTTCAAGCTCTGTCTCCTTGGTCCGAGCCCCCACCCCCTGCCAGAGCCTTCAGCAGCCAACACTTATTCGCCCCCCCACTGCCCCCCCAGCCCGTTCTGAGCTGGGGATTGGTGTCCAGCTGCCCTGCGGAGAGGCGGGACGTCCCTCTCCCTCTGGGGTGTTGGGGATTGAATCTGCCACTGTCACCTGCAGAGCTCCGCTGGTGAGGGCCTGGGCAGCTGAGCGACACTCACCCCCGTCTCCCCCTGCCCTGAGAGCACACAGCCCCTTTCCACCCACTCAGTAACGACGCAGCACCGATGGGAAACTGAGGCACACACAGGGCTCATAAAATATTACAAAAAATGCCCCCTAGTCCCAGCCTGACAGCCGGGGGCCCGCATGGGTCAGAGGCTGCGATTTGGGCCACAGGGAGGTGGGAGGGGCAGGTGCGGCCTGCACTGGGGGTGGGTCTGGCTGGAGGCCCCTGAGCCTAGGGCCCCATGTGCCTTCGCTGCCCCGCTGGCCCCACTCTTAGCCCGCCACTGACCCCTCCTCCATCAGCTCACCCGGCCCAGGCTCCCAAGTGGGGCTGGGTGGGGGCGCCGGGCAGCAGGGGCGGGGGGAATATTTGGGGAGGGGCAGATGCAGGCAGCCTCCCGCTCCAGCTCACCCACCCTCTCTCCTTCCCTCCCTAGCAGTGGGGTCCAGGCAGAAGCCAGCGAGCTCCCCGCATGGTAAGTGCCGTTCCCGGCCAGGCCCCCACTGGGCCGAGGCACAGCTGGGCTAGCCTGGGGGTGGGGGAGCCCTACACCGAGGGCAGCTGACGTCCAGCCGGAGGTCCCGACCCACAGGGGATAGTGTAGATGGGGGCAGGGGCTGATAAGACAGCAAAGGCCATGGGGGGAGGGGGGCTAGGGGGTGACTGGGTGGAACTGCAAACGCCCCAGCAGGGAGATGGGTGCAGCTGGGGGTGGCTCTCCCAGGGGGGGCCGGGAGCCCTGCTGCTCAGATGCTTAGGAACCAGCCGGGGGAGAGCCCTGATGCCCCAGACCCTGCCCCAGACCCTGGCCTGGCGGGGTTGGGAGCCTCCAGCCCCTGCCCCCCAGCGCCTCGCCACGTGCTCAGCCCGGCACCAGGGCTGACCCTCTGGGATCTCAGCCAGTGCCCGCCCAGAGGGCTCCAGCGCAGGGGGCGGGTGCTGATCCCCCTCTCCCCGTGCCAGGTCAGCACTGAGAGCCGGCAATGCAGGAGGAGGCCACGAGTGAGACCCCCAGGACGTGGTGTCATCAGCGACTGATTTCCCCAGCCAAGACCCTGCGTTCCTGGCCCTTCTCCCCCAGCCGAGACCCTGCGTTCCTGGCCCTTCTCCCCCGGCCGAGACCGTGCGTTCCTGGCCCTTCTCCCCCGGCCGAGACCCTGAGTTCCCGGCCCCTTCTCCCCCGGCCGAGACCCTGCGTTCCCGGCCCCTTCTCCCCCGGCCGCGACCCTGCGTTCCCGGCCCCTTCTCCCCCGGCCGCGACCCTGCGTTCCCGGCCCCTTCTCCCCCGGCCGAGACCCTGCGTTCCCGGCCCCTTCTCCCCCGGCCCCTTCTCTCCTGGCCGTGACCCTGCGTTCCCGGCCCCTTCTCCCCCGGCCACGACCCTGCGTTCCTGGCCCTTCTCCCCCAGCCGCGACCCTGTGTTCCCGGCCCCATCTCGAACCCACCCCCCAGCTAAGTCCCTGCCACGTTCCTGGCCACCTTCCCTCAGGTTTTCTATATTCCAAGAATAATGGAATTTTGTTTGTAATTTTGTTAAAAGCATGTGAAAACCCTCCTGTGTCACTCGCTGGGTGGTGCTGGGGGCAGGGTGCGGGGGAGGGGCTGGGCTTCAGGTGACACTGGTGGGAGCCGGGGCCGGGATCTTCCCATTGCGTCACCAGCTGCGCTCTGAGGGCCCTCAGGCCCCGTCCCGCAGAGCCCTGGTCACATACAGGGAGGGGGGCCCCAGCCCTCACAGCCCCCCGAGCCCAATGGCCAGGCCTGTCACCCCCCTGATCCAACACCTCCGCCACGCAATGGCGCCTCCACCAGGGCAACACTGGATAGCGCCACTAACTGCAACAGGAGAGCACCCCAGTGCACCCCCTGCCCCGCTCCCTGCCCCACAGCGCCCCCTAGCGCCACTGTGGGGCCAGCCCTGGCAGCCAGGGGAGAGCGCCCCCTGCTGAGCCCCCCACACTCTGCTCCCTGCCCCACAGCGCCCCCTAGCGCCGCCCTGGGGCCAGCCCTGGCAGCCAGGGGAGAGCGCCCCCTGCTGAGCCCCCCACACCCTGTTCCACAACGCCCCCTAGTGCCGCCCTGGGGCCAGCCCTGCCTGCCCGGGGAGAGTGCCCCCTGCTGAGCCCCCCACACCCTGTTCCACAACGCCCC